GTGGTCAATTTAGCAGGATCGCATTGAGGCTAGTCGATGATAAGTAAAGAAGGCACCACCTGTGAAAAGGTATATAGAGGGACTAAGAAAAGTTTACCTTGTCTGGAATCTCACATACCAACTTCTGATTATGTCCTCTTAAAGGGTAGAGATTAATATTCAATGGTTGTCTAGTTTTGTGGTTTAAAAGATAATGGCATAAGTTAGATTTAAAGCAATAATCTGATAGTATTGACTTAAAGATGAAATTGAAGGCTGTTTTTTCTGTCTTCAGCTGAATCGTGCTTCGGCCATCTTCCACATTCAAACTCTTGACCTTTAATGAGGCTTAATATCAACTTGGTCAGTGAGGACTGAGGAGCTGTAGTTCACTCTAGTACTAGAATACCAGCACTATAGTGTGTGTCGAAGGTTTCACATTTGAGCTGAAAGTCTGAGTTTATACAGAAATTACCAATTTTAGTGCTTTATTAAAATTCTCTGTTGCCGAATGCCAGAACAAGGACCCGAGTGGTTCCTTCTTTGGTGACTAAGAGCTACTTGTGCTGCATGGCCACCAGTTGTCGATGCTCCACTTGTTTATATGTCCATTGGAGAAAGCAGTATTCTTTGTAAGGTACACGAACAAGGCACTTGGCTACCTTAAGAAAAGCTTATCTGCAGTTACACCAACTTCAGGATTTATTTACTGCCTGTGCATACCTAAATTTTCTGATGCCTCTTGATGAGCTACTTTGACTGATACGGTTAGGGGAGCCTTCAGGTCTTTAGCATGAGTAAGCTGAGACTCTAGTGATTGCTTCCTTTAGATGGCTCCTTGCACTATCATTTCGTTCACTTAGCATGTGTTAATCACTATGAAATTCAACATTTAATTTCAGAATTTGTATACCTAATGTGCTCCATTAGCTCTCTAAGGTGAACGAATGCTCCTTGAATCTCAAAATTTGAAATACTTTCTACGTAAAGTCTGGCCATCATCTGGTTGTGGAAATATGATATCCTCGTTTTGGTGCATACTGTCATTGGTTAATGATTGGCAGTGCTTCTACCAGTTTGACAAAAAGTCTCAGGAGAACCTGTTGGTATATGAGTTTTGCTAAAGGTGGTTGAAATTTCGAGATAGTGATGATTTTGACAATTCTAGTTGATAGGTACTTGAAAATCTTGGTTTGTTTTATGCTCATTACAACCAAAAAATGAACAGTCTTGACAAAAGACCGTAATCAGACTATTTGAAGCATATCTTTCAAATTGCAGTTTGTCTTGATTGGTCTATTAAATTTATCAGAAAGCTTAAGTTATCAGTTTTCATGTTTTTCTCCAAGTGAAAAACTTGATAACTTCCTTCACTGGACTAGTCATGGTCATCGCTTTGGTCAAGCTTGTACTGATCATATTACCAGATTGTGTATTCGTTGTTATCATTCTCTTGTAGGCATCAGTGATGTTCGGCCAAAAATACATATATTTACCCATTGTTATCTCATATTCTAGTACTTTTAATCATCATTTGAGAATTAGTTATATTATTTTGTGCGTAATATTATATTTTAACTATGTAGGAATAAAGCGGTGTGAAGATGAAGAAATTTGGAGCAAAATTAAATAAAACGCGGAAGAAAAAGAAAGAATAAAAAAAGAGGAGACACCCTTTGAATTTTGTCCCCCAAAATGCAAGACAAAAATACAAAGAGTTAAACAAGGCAAACAAAAACGTACATAATGAATTGAAGGATTTCAACGTGAAATGCTCACTGCATTCAGCGCCAGGACCAGCGCTGGCCTGGACGCTGTATTGCGAGGGTTTTCCTACTGCGCCCGTGACAAGGTTATTTTGGTCCTACGCGAGCCCAACTCGTATAAAAGGGGTCCTAAACTTAATTTGGAGGGGAGAACGTGATTTTGGAGAGAAAACAAAGGAGCAAAACACTAGGGAGAGCACAGAGCCGCCGTGGAGGCCGGGTTTCATCTTTTCTTCCATCAAACTTTGTAATTTTTATGTTTCTTCATATGATTTGTTGTTTTGCTACCATGTCTATGTGGAGCTAAAGTTCATGTTCTAGGGTTGTGGTTCTTTCATGACTATTGTTATTCGAATATTGATTTTGATTTCTTGATTTATCGTATTAGTTTATTTATTCAATATTGTGCTTAATTATTTGATTGCTTAATCACCAATCGAATACTATCTACGAATCTAGAGTTGAACTCGAAAGTGGGAATTCTAGATTGCATATAGGATTGAGTAAAGCAAGTTCTTGAACCTGGGCATCGGGGAATGGATTCACAGTTAGGATAAACATATACCTAATTGTCTTGCTTGGTTGATTTACAGGAATTATAAATGCGTTCTTGCTGATTCTAACTCCATAGACATATAGGCGTTAGTTAGCTTGAATAGGCGAGTAAGAACTTGACAAATTCTTATGAGCAATATTAACTCTGTTAACCAATAAACTAGATAAATTAGTTAGTCAATTCAATTGAAGAATATAATAGGATTGTTAGATAGCCCATGACCCTAGATCGTTTTCATCGCATTGATATCATAAAAATCTGCTCTTTCTCTGTTCAATTTTCATTATTTATATTTCTTTATTTAATTAGTTTAGAATCAAATATTTCTAGATTTAATTCTTGTTTAGATAATTAGGGTAGTCTAATTTAGTTAATAGTTAATCATAAGTCCTCGTGGGTTCGACATCCGACTTTTAGTCACTTTATTACTTGACGACCGCGTATGCTTGTGTGTGCGTTTGGCCGCAACAATCAGTTTCCTCTTAGTATATCTTCTTGGCAAATGGTTGTTGCACTACTTCGTTTTGTTCTTTCCCAACCATATATTTCCCATTCTCATCTCAGAGTGGGAGAAAGGCAAATATAAGGTAGTATCCGTGGCAAATATAAGGTAGTATCCGTGTCTTGGAAAATCTATTAACTGAAGTTTTTTGCTTGATTCTTCTGTCATATACACACAAAAAAAATATTTGTTGACGCGTTACGTGTACACTGCAGTTCTTTCTTATTTGGTTACAAAGACGTGCATTACTTGTAAATTGGAGCTCTAGGAGAAAAGTGAAACATGGTATGACTTTGTTCTCTTGGATAATTGTTTTCCTGTTTCAAGCGTGCCCAAAATTATGCCAAACAACATCTTAGGACATCAACTGAATTCAGCTTCAGTGTTTAGGTATCTCTACTGTATGTATACTAATTATAACCTTTTTCTTCATGGAGTTAAGATACAGTGTCTGCCATGGCTCCATGCTGGGCATTTAGAGAAGAAATTGCCTCTCATCTATCGCAACTGTTTCCACTTTCCACAGTCCTGTCTCTACAATTAGCATCCACGGGAAGATGTGAAGCTAATACCACTGCAGCAATTGATAAGGAAATTGATATGGTTGATGAGTTGGAAGATATGTTTATACTTTCTGGAGAAAAGGGGAACCCTTGCAGTTACTTGGTTAGTCTATCTTGCTCTCTTGCTAGGCATGCAGGTATATAGGACAGTGCTGTCAAAGGAAAGATCAAGGTACTTTGTATTTTTCTCTCTTAATATTGCCTCATCTGATGTTGTTTAAAAAATTTCATTCTCTCTCTTGTATTGGCAGAATCTTTTGCACTGGGCTATCTCACTGTTGGAGAGTGTTGCTCTGTTAGAAATGTCTGATAGACCAATTGCATTTACGAGGAAGAAACTTAATCCTATATCTAGTGGGGATGTCATTTTGTATTGCTTTTACTTCTGGTCCTTACAGTTAATCTTCCTGTTTTGTGCCACAGAATTGCTGGTTTAGCTAAGAATCTACTAACCTTGTGCCATTCACAACAGTTATCAAAGACTCGCTCAAACCTCTAAGCGATGCACAGCTCAGATTGGGAGCTCTGTGTCATTTAGGCGGTGCTTCGATGAAGAAGCTAAGGTGCTAGAGTGTGCACCTTCGGGTAAATCAGCCAACTAACAGCTACAAAGAAAAGGTAAAGGGAGAAGTAAACATGAAGTTCGGACTTCTGAGTCTATATTAATGACGGAAGCCTCATCTATGAGATAATAATTGATCATGATATGACTTGGTCAAGATCAAGACTGGACTTAATGACACTTTTAGAACTTGATCTATTGTTCAACTATTTAACGACTTCAACTTATGCAGAGTAACAAATTTTTCTTAGGTATAGTAACTACTGCTCCTATTTCTGTAGCAAACGAGTCATGGTACCAGAAGAAGACCTTGAGACGTTTTTGGAACTGTTGCTGAATTCTGAGGTAATTCACTGCTGTTCTTTATGGAACTTTTCTTTATAGCTATGTTGTGTGGACTGTCCAAAATGCTGCCGCACCCATGTCAGATCCTCACCCAGTGATATTTTCGGAGAGTCCGAGTAACATAGTTTTATAGGATTCCTAATAAGTTTTCTTGCTTCATGTTGTTATTGCACCTAAGCTGTTACAGGAGAACCTAACACAAGAAGATCGTATGCTGAAAAGTGAAAGTGATCTTCACTGAAGGACCATAAACTTGCAAGATTGTACATGTATCTATTGACTAACATTTTTGTGCACGATTGCTAATTCTCTCTAAGTTCCTTCTGAATCTGTGTGACTATGAACTCTCTATTTACATTTAATTTCCTGAACTCCACTAAACCAAAAAACTGTCAAGTTTTGATTCACATAGGTGACTGATTTGTCTTTCTGAGATCTTAGAATTCTGGGCACCCTTCCTAGAAGGTGGTTTGGAATCTGGATGCTCTTAGTTTGTAAATCTTTTGATTGTCATGGTAATATTCACTGTTTATTACCTTAAAAAAAACATTTTTGTGCACGAGGAGCTGTATGACAAAAGGCTATGAAGAATCAATCAGTGGCTTTGAACGGAAATAATTGGACCTTGCGTCATACGACGAATTTCTCAAACAAAGGTGGAAGCAGTCTTCGTTGCAGACTTTGCATTGACAAAATATCGAACAAAGTGACTTGGTACAGACTAACGTAGAGGATAAATTGCAATCAGTTTATTCATCATCAACAATCTGAAGTAAGTTATAAGAGTGTACGACTTATTTCTATTAATTCAATTGTCAGCCTCTTTTTTCAACCTTGTTTTCGTTTTTGTTTTGTTTCTTTCATCTTCAGTACTCCACAAAATGAAAAGATAAAAACCACATTCTGGCCAGTTTGCATGGGAACTATGCTGACATTATTCTAGCTAGCTTAAGTTTTCTATTAGTTTCCTCAATCCACTTTTATATGTGGAGATAGGACGGACTTTGGATAACCATATTCCTTAAATCCAGTCACATCTAGAATTATCTTGCTGGGAGCCTCTGTTGGTGGTTGCCCTGGCCCTGGGAACAAAAACCATCGTTGGAACCATTCTAGAAATTCAGGGAAAAATATTCTGTAGACGAATAATGTCTTGAACCATGGTGGTTCTGTTAGGTAGTTGTCTCCGCGGCATGCACTCTTGACAATTGCTCTAGCACATTTTTGCACTGGCAGTATAGGAGTAACACTCATTTCAACCTGGTAACAATTGCAGCAAACGGGATGAATACCTGCTAGTATCTTCTTTGAGAAGAATGAGAGAACAAATATAATTGAATGACGTCTTCAAGACGTAATTAAATAAATAAAACTGTTTGTCTTTCTAATAGCTTAATAAAGGTTTAGAATTTTCAACTCAATGTTGCTAAGGCAATAGGTAAGTCTCTGATAAAAACTTGATATCTGATTCAGAAGAAGAAACTTACGTCTCTCATTACTTGGTCCACTTCCAACTTGCCCTCTGTTGTGAGAAATTTGCCTTTGGTCAACTCAGATTCAACTAGTCCAGGAGTGACTATTGTAATCCCAATTTGTGTCCCAAGTTCTACCCGCAACGTCTCATAGAAACTAATCATTGCAGCTTTACTTGCCTGTAGAAACACTGAATTATATTCAAGCTCAATGAGGCAGAAGAAGAACGTAATTCAAAGTCGTTGCCAGATAACATACATTATAGAAGCTGATTCTGGCTGCATTCAGAACACCAGCTGATGAAGTGATGGCTACGATTTTTCCCTTGGTTTCCTTCAAAAAGGGGATGGCAAAATGGGTAGTATAAACTGCACCCCAGAAATTTATGTCCTGAGATTATAACATATGGCAAATTAATCTCTGGTTTTCCTTTCCAAAATGTTCATTATACTATGAGCAAACACCGAGACATGTACGCACTTCACTCGTGTTAGATGCTGCAATTGCTTTGACAAGGATACGGAGTTCAATAATGAACAGAAAAGGAAAAAGAATATGGATTTTACCATTGCGGGTGCAGCTTTGGTGACCTCTATAAGGTTCTCAAACAAGTATAGGGGCGTCACAGCAGCATTGGTCACCAGATGATCCACTACAGCAAATTTAGCAACAAAATCATTGACACTTAAACATAATTGACACAATTCTTTAATTTTACGTCCAATATAAGATGATCATTCGCTGTTAATAAATTTATTAGTTTTCTAAACTTACATCTACCAAAGTTACTTATAGCTTCCTCAATTAATCGCTGGCAATCTTCAACTTTGGAAACATCAGCATGCACAGGAACAACATCTGGAGATCCAAGCCAATAAGCCATATCTGCTACTTGCTGAAGACTTCTGCGCCTTCTTGCCGCAAGCACTAGACGAGCACCTCTTTTAGCATATTCATAGGCTAAATGCTTCAATTTCCATAACAAACTCAAATTAATCAACCAAGTCTTGCATATAAAAAAGACCTACTACTCTAATGATTATAAATCTAACAAGGAATAAGTTATATATATTGACAGTCTAAAGATTTTTTTTTTTTTTTTACCGATCATTGTAATTTAACCTGTAATATAAGATTACTTTAGCTATCAATTACAATGTTTATCAGAAATTTCACATTAATAACCTTATAAATGACCTCACTACATGTGCAAATATTCATACACCATAGGTAACAATATAACCGCTACGCATCCAAACAAGTTGCGGTCAGCTATATGAACATTCTCACTCGTGCATTTAAGCTTAACCATAGGTGTAAAGGAACTTAAATTCAGTAAGTAAAATGTTGGGTACAAACCTCGCCGATACCAGAAGAGGCCCCTGTGATGAGAACAACTTTACCAGCGACGTTTTCACTAAATATAGAACGGAAGATGAAGTGAAGAAACTTGAGAAAGAGATATAAAGGCATGAAGTGGATGAGTGCAGTTGTGGCCATATGAGGTAAATAAGCGTTCAAGATTTTGTGAATTAAATCCAAGACAAGCTCCATTGTTTCAGAACTTTTGCAGCAATCCTTCTTTCTCTTTCTAGGGGGGAGGAGAGGAAATATCTCGTGAAGTCCAGCAGATATAATGCTTAAAAGGCCACTAACACGTGGCAGCAAAAAGCACATAACCCTTGCATGCAGAAACTGCCACGTAAACTCTTTTTGTTCGAATTCCTTCGGGCACTGTTGCAGTCCAATTCATGTCCTCATCCTCGTCTCTCGTTGCCAAAACTTGGGGTGTAAATGGATCGGGTTGGTCCGATTTTTATCAAAATCAATTATATCGGTTTGGATTGATTCGATTTTGTCGGATTTTTCTGGTTTTCGGGTTTTTATTGCTTAAATATTATTTTAATCTTACTTTGTTAAATTTTTGATAAGTAAATATATGTTTAGTAAAAATATAAAAAATTGACAAAAATTATCTATTAAAATATTTTATGAAAGAATTTTCTTAGTAACATATATTAGTTATTTTTTTTAGTCGTCTGATAATAATGTTTCGTTGATGTACACTTTCAAGGTTAACCGAATTTAGTAATTAAACATAAAAATCAATATGATACCTAAATAATAATAATAATAATCACTTTACATTCGAAAAAGATATAAAAATTTAGTAGATCTTAACATATGATACGAATGTGAAAGAACAAAGAGATTGACGCATTCAGTAACACTTGATGAGAAAGTGATCACACAATCCATTATTTAAGGTTAATAAATATGGAGCACTTCATATACTATTAAATATTATATCCTGCAGGATAATCCCAAATATTTCTAGACATTTTTTAAAGAAAACTCTATATAAAATCTTAAAAGTATATATAAAAATTATATATTTATATATCGGTTTGGTTCGGGTGGATTACTCAATACCAAACCTAATCGGGTTTTTTAGTCGGTTTGGTTTGACTTTTTGGTTTGGTGCGGTTTTCCTATTCGGTTTGTACACCCCTAGCCAAAACTAATTTTTTTTAAGTCAACATATTTGGCCAAACTTTTAGGAGCAAAAAAATATTTATAAGTAAAAGTGAAAATAATTTTTGAAAAATAAGAAAAGATAGTATTTTTCCAAAAGTATTTTTTTGAAAAATATTTTTTAAAAAAATAAATTTAAAAATATTTTTTAAAAGTTTGTCAAAATACTAATAATTGCAAAAAGTATTTTTAAAATTAATTACTCAAATACAAACTACTTCTCATTAAAAGTACCTTTTTGAAAAGCACTCTTCAAAATAAGCTAATTTAGAAATTTGGCCATAGGATATTAGTTTGACAATTATTAAATTGCAACTTGGAGGGTGTTTGGCTAAGCTTATAAGCGGGGTCAAATTGGCATATAAACACCTTTGGCTTATCTATGCATTTGGTAAACACCCAAAGTAGAGGTGGATCCAGGATTTAATGTTTATGAGTTCCTGCAACAACTTCGAGTAAATTTTCAATAGTAATAGGGTTCACATTCAAACATTTATAGATATTTAGTAAATTTTTCGAACATATTTATACTGTTTGGATAAAAGTTACTGGGTTCACGTGAACCTGTAGGTTGCAAGGTGGATCCGCCCCTGACCCAAAGTGCTTATGAGCTAACAAGTCATAAGTTGGTCACCCCCAACATATGGTTTTTCAGCTTGTAAACACTTTTAGTTTGACCAAGGCTTTTACTGATTTATCCTTAATAATATTTTTTAATTCACAAAATATTTTTCCCAAAATGAATTTTCTAACTTTCTCTCCATATTCATTGTTCTTCCTTTTCTTTACAAAAATATTTTTAATTTATAATATTTTATAAAGTTTTAAGGATATTTTAGTTATTTTTTCAGCACTTTTCCATCAAACATACCAACTCCTTATTATTAATTCAGCACATATATCTAAATACGTAAATACATATTTAAAAAATTAAATTTAGCACTTAAATATATTTTTTAGTATTTCAAAATTATCAATTATTTATAATCAATTAATCCAAACGCCCAGTTGATATTGTGAAGTTTCATAACCTTACTATGTACAAATGAGATATGCACTTGAAATTCATGTATGAGTTAAAATAAACGGAAAAGGGTTAAAAATGTTGGGATATATACTATTAACCATGGTTTTGGTTTAGATATAGTATTTATTATGAAACAATTGTTTAGTCAGTTTTAATAAAGTTTTAAATAGATCATATTAGTGTGTGTCCTTTGCTTATATAGTAGATGATTTAGTGTATAGAGTTTAGCTTATACACAGAAGATTAAATCATCGGTTCTTATAAGTATAAAGTTTGAGTTCATAATCTAATGATGGAATTGGACAAACTATCAGGAATGATTGTAACACAAGATTAAATATAATTTATCTTGATTATGGGAATGGTTTAATTCCAACTTCTTGTGCTAGTACATTTTGTATGTATTGAACGAACCAAGTAGAGATAAGTATTTTATACTGACTTAATAAAATAAACTTTCTAGCCATTAAATGTACTTATACTCTTATTCTTGATATAGTTATTATTAGTTGTGTACATTATTATTATTTTGATTTATTAAAAGGCCAGATTCTTTCGTAAGTCAATATGCTTGGTAAATTGGATAATAATAATGTACATTGGCGAAATAATAGTTAGTTGATGGAATCCATGTCTCGATTTAGAGATTGATGATACACCTTTATGAAAGCTTATAAATTTTCATGTGTAAACCTGGCCGGTGTATTTTGTATCCGACACATGAAATAAGTGAAGAGAAAGTCTAACAAAAATAATCAATAAATTAAATCGTCAGTAATTTAATTTAATTGATTAGTATCGGAATCTTAACATGAGGAGTTAAATAAGATTTAATGGTTGAATTTCAAAATTGAATAAGGAGTGCAATTACGAATTTTTAGTGGAATAATTCGTAATTAATTATGATGGATATTAATTTCGAAAATTACAAATTAATTCCATAATTGGAAGCCTTGTTAATTAAATTATGTTGTACCTACTATGCCTAAATAATAGGAAATAAATGAATCCTTTTTCTGGTGGAAAAGAAAACTCAACAGGTTTTAGAAAAGGGTTTTAACCCTTAAAACTTGTGCTATAAATACATAAGGTTTTCCACCTAGATAAAGAGATAACAAGGGGGCCGAAATTTTAGCCTTCTTCCTAGAAAATTTTGCCCACACAAAATTACTATTTCTGGATATTATTTAGGTAACACAGTAGAAGACCATGGAACGTTCGAGGATCACGATTGTGCGGGTGATGGAGATTCCATTGAGAAGGTATGGAACTAAAGGCTCACGTGATAGAAGAGATATGTTCACGCTTCAAGAGGTAACCCGTGAAACCCCGTATACATTAGTTGTCTAGATTACATGTGATTTTGATATTGGGATTGCTTCCGCTGCATATAATAATCCATCAATTGGTATCAGAGCCCACTCACATCTAATTAGATAACTAAGTTTTTCATGAAACAAGAATATCTTGTTTATGTGCGTTTTTTAATTACATGTATATGTGATTTTCTGAAAAACTACATTGTTGTTTTGTGAATTAAATGTGCAAAATTTTTGAATTACTCTTGTAATCATGAGATATCTGTTTTCTTATTGATATTTGAATGAGATTATCTGAATTTTTGGGGTAAACCCTAGAAAAACACAAAACCTGATTTTGACCGAATAACCGATAATTTCGGAAGTCGGCGAACTTGACAGACTATGATGAGCTGAAATTTAGTGGGTCCATCGGAAACGACGTGGTGAGAAAAACTCACTGCTTTTACAGTGAATCATGGTCTTTTTCGGCGTTTTGAGGTTGTTTGGACTGTGTTTTGGACGTTTTTCTATTTTTTGGAAATTATTTCTTAATAATTTTAATTCGTTTTTAATTCAATGGTGGTGGGGGTGACTCCCCATGGTCCCCATAATTAAATATTGATCATATAATAGGTTTATACATTGACTTTTAGCAAATAGACGTGTTGTTGTATTAAATTCAATAATAGAGGTGTGAGATTTTATTGACTAGGTCTTACAAGGTATAATTGATATTGTGTGATGATATAATTATATTGTAAGAAAGTGAAATCCTCTATTTGATATCCTAGATGACTAATGATTAGAGCGTTTGGCATATTTGTGCATAAAAATTTCTCAAATTTTAGTTTATGTTTTCATGCCCTACTTGATTACTAGTTTTGGATTTTTGATGAAGAATTTTGTTCTCTAATTGGAGGTTCTAATTAAGTGAAATATGACGGTATTTTGTATGAGTTTTATATTGTTGTTATGTGTCATGACCCCGGTTTGCCCTCCGTGAACCATCGTGACGACACATAGTCTCTACGACTAAGTAAGCCTAAAATGCAGAAGATAAACCAAATTTGCGGAAGAAAACAATTTAAAATAGGAATAAAGTAATAAAACAGCGTTTAAAAGTGTCGCTCGGCATACACAATATTAACTCTTAAAAACCAATACATTTTTCCCAAAACCCGAAAACCCATGAATCACAAGCTACGAATATAACAAAAATGCTCTAACTCCAGAATGTCTACATCAACAGAAGAAAATAGAAGGGCTATCACTACAAGATATAATGGAAAGCGATTCCTCAGTCTGTGAACGCGGAAGATATACCTCAAAGTCTCTGGAGCAGTCGCCTCGCCTCAAGGATGATAGGACTGAGTCAAAGTACCTGGATCTGTACATGAAAAACATGCGCAGAAAGGGCATTAGTACACCATAGCAGTACTCGATAAGTGTCAAGCCTATCCTCGATCGGATAGTGACGAGGAAGGTCCGGGCCCTACTGAGGTTAAATAAAATATAAAGTTCGACAGTGTAGAACAGAACAGTATAAATAAGTACAGCCGTAAAAGTAACACAAGATATAAAGGGCAACAACAACTATTACAGAGGCAAGGTAAACACAGAAAGAAATACGGCTCAGTACCAAAATAACAATCGGGGATCTCCCAGGATACCGTCTTGTAGTCCCAAATATACATATTCAATGGATCTCACGGGATCCCATCCC